TAGCTCCCTTAACTCAGAAAGAGTCAACTCTGATCGAGGCACGGTCGTTCGGTGTATGCAACCCCGAGTTTCGAGTACCCCTCGAAGCACTTTCGACAGAAAAAGAAGATGATAGCGATGGAGAAACCACCTTTCCAAAACCAGGAACCACGGGCGCGACAGGCTCAGACAAGATTTCCACTCCGGGGCACCGGTCCAGTTTCACCTTGCTTTGAGCGTTGTCGCCCTACAGAGGCATCTCTCGCTTACTGTTATCATTTTTTATCCCAGTAGCTAGAAAAATTTCCCCCTCTCCAAGGGAGGATGGCCTCGCCTTGGAAGGCTTCCCGATGCCTACAATAGTAGAATTAGTACGCAGAAAGGGAAAGTGCATTTCCAAATGTAAAAAGGGAGAGGAAAAAACCGCACAACACGTACCATGATGTTTTGCTTCCTATATGCCCCTAGAAAAAGTTCGCCACTTAAGCTCATTGCGAGTCGAGTGATTCACCAACTTCTGAACCTTATCCGGCAGATCAGGAACATTACCCGGCGTCCACGAAATCACCGCAGAAAAAGAAAAGGAGTCATATTTACGAAGCCAGCCTTCGCCCTACACAAAACTAAGAAGGCACGAGTATAACACTTATGTGTATGATTCCATTCCTCAGGGAATGGCAAAAACTCTACAGGAATAATATTGACGGTCCGTACTTGGACGAATCAACTCATCAACTCCTAATCTCCGTCTTTCTTGTCATCAACTACAAAGGGCGTGGTCAATCGGTATCGTAAGGTTAACAAACCTCGATGGTGAAAAGGCTAGTACAGCCTAATAAGATGACTGAGTGTAAGTTCAAGCCTAGCCTTCTCCGTGAAAAATCTCATCATCAACACTATTCGCCAAAATAACGGGTGAATTTGCGCCAAGGTAACCCGATACTTTGTATAGAAGTTGAGAACAATTCTATCAAGAGGGCCCAGTGTGAAAGGTCGTGTATACATTTAAAAACCCATCGGCATGGTCTGTGATGCCCTTGTCCAGGGAAGGCATCTATAACACTACATTTTCCCCCCATTCGTAGTCTTTTCTCATTAACCCAAGGTGTTCTTCTCCTATAAAAGAAGTAAACTTCAAGGCATGCTCTCGTTGGTCCTAAACATTAGGGTATTTGACCAATGAGAAGTCCCCTCTCGAAGCAAAATGCCCTAAGTCAGGCCCGCCTGGCATCAGCGGAGCTCTGCTAACAAGGCGAGAATCGGACGCAGAACTCTCTCTTCCTTGTCAAACGGAGCTTGATGTAGCAGTCATGACTGTGGCAAAATTAGAGAACTAAAGCAGGAAAGAAGAGTAACTACTCAGAATGACGGAATCTCCAAAAGGGTGGAAACAACCCTATATAAGTAAAGAGCAGTAACGATCCGCCATACGATGTTTCAGGGTTACAGATCCCCGTACCACTACAGGTCCCGAGGTGGTACCCGTCCTCGAGGACCTTCATCAAAAATAAGTTAGGATATATTTTTCCAATATTAGATATTCTATCAATTTATCGTCATTTAAAAAAATAAAATAATAATTACTACAACATAATCGTAGTAGTTACATTTTAAATAAATACTATGAGATGTTCTAATTAAATAATGGTTTTTCTAATTTATAGCATAGTCTATTTAAATTACATGGATGGCAGTAGAGTATATTTTTAAATACGGTACAAATCCAAATAATTAGAAAAAAAGAGCTTGCTGCGAAGTTTGAAAGTATCTTTCTTCTCAGTGAGCCCTTGGACCTCGGCCTCAAGATAGTTCAGATCGTCCCGATATCGAAGAAAAGTCTAATGATGAAGCACCAAGGCCTACGAAAATAATAAGAAATGTTATGAATATCTATAAATTAGTCTAAGTACAAATTAAAAGTAATCAAGAGGTATCTAAAGTTACCCTATTTAGCGCATCTTGTGCTTCGTTGAATAGGCAGGGGGCGTCCATCTCGTTCATCATGGCTTGGTCTTCCTCGGTCACCAGATACCGAAGGTAACTGGCCACCCCTACGGGAGTAGAAAGGACATCCTTCGAAATAGAGATGATGATTGATCATTTCTCGTCAGGATCCACACTCGAAGCTGGGAATCGGTTGATTAGTTTTGGGCTTGAGGAAGGCTCGCTTTTTTCTGAAGATGGACTCTTCCTCGACCCCTCTAAGTCACCCAATCCGTGATGTCCTCTGTGGCGGTAGAATCTACGCCATCAAAAAAGTCATAAGGAGTTGTCCTCTCCATGGGCCCCCTCGTTGGGATGTTCTTTCACTATATGAGCATCGTTGAACATAGACTCAGTGAACGAAGGTGACTCAGTGATTTCTATCAGACCAAGTACATCCTTCGGGGCATTGCCCACATCCCGGGAGGCCTCGGTCACGACCTACATGTTGACCTCGACCACGGCCTCCTCGTCCGCCTCCCTGGCTTAAGGCAGATCGGCCTCGCGTCTCTCTAGTTCGGAGGACCCTTTTTCCTCGAATTGCGGCCGCGCGGGCCACCAGTTTAGAGGCTTCTTCTCCTTCTTCGGATTCGTCTCTTAGTTGGTGAGTGTATCCGAGGGTGGGGCTTGAGCACTGGTAGTTTTTTTGGGCTTGCTCACCAGCCTTCTTTTCATTTTCTTCTTCTCTAAGCTCAGAGAACTTGGAGCCCTCTTTTTTTTCTTTCCCTTCGACTTGTCTCGGAGTAGGGGACTCAAGAGGAAAGTTCTCGTCGCCAACCGGAGGCCTGAGCTCGACATCCTTAGGAAAACCTGAGATAGAAAATAAAGAGAATTAGGACTTGATAATAAAAGGAGAGGCCTAACACGACCTAATTGGAAAGGGGATCGTACCATGCGAACGAGCCTCCCAACGGCCCTTCGAGAGTTCGCGCCAAGAATACTCAGAGTAGGGCATCTGAGAAATGATGCCCTCGACCCACCTATCGAGTCGATGAGTAGCACTTGGAACCCGAGCGATGGTTGTACCATCACAAGCACCAATAAGAAAAAAGAAAGTAAATATAAAAATCAACATTCGAAGGGAATTTCCACTTACATTTTGTGTTCCACTTCTCGGGAAACGTCATGCATTTCACCGGGATTACGTCCGAGGTACTCACCTGAATAAATGGCCTTGCTAGGGCTTTGCTGGCCTGGCGCATAAGCTTTATCAACCCTCCTCAGAATAGTCGGGGACGATACAAGTGAAGTAGGTGATCCACGGTGAACCGAAAGCCATCAATTCTTCTCACGAAGAACTGGAGAAAGATTACGATCTTCCACATCGAAGGATGGATCTGAGCGAGGCACACCTTGTACCTCTTGCAGAAGTCTACAATGACTAGGTCTACTGGTCCAAATATGAAGGGATAAGTGTAAGCACTCAGGTCTCCTTCTACATGGGTGGTAATGTCCTCCTCGGGGTCAGGGACCACTACGATTTTACCGGCCTAGTTGCAATCATCTCGAACCGTAGGGAGGACCTTTTTGGTGATCGATCAAATGTATCTCGAGAAGTCTTCACAACGGCCCGGTATGGAAGAAGGTTTTTCAACCTTAAAGTCATTATTTATCGAGCATCCTCGGGGATGAACATTTTCAAAGGTGGTTCTTATGTTGCTTCATTAACTGCAGCACAAAAAGCAGTTTTTTCGGCCTCAATAGCCAGCCACGAGGTAGAAGGGGTTACTTTTTGGGGAACAGTTTTTTCCATTTCTTTGAAAAATGAAGGAGAAATAGAAAAAGAAAGGAGGTTGAAGGCTTGACATGAAGATGTACATAAGTTCTTTCAAAAGATCCCAAATAAACTAGAGTATAATGCTAGGAATTGTTGAAGTTTCAAAGATACGAGGGTGAAGGTTTTGATGTAAAGTTAAAATGAACAACTGAGGGGGTATTTATATTTAACAAGTGATGGTTCGTATCCAAGAGTGGCCGACCGGCAACCGATAAGCATTTAATGTCATTAGACTTGACTAACGAGACGTTTTGTTCATTTTGTCATTTCTGGCGTGGAGTATCGAAGCGAGAATCGGGAGCTCATGTCATTTTTTATCATTACTCTTCGAAAAACAAGTCGATTATCTGTATACGGGTAAAACTGGTCTCGAAGCACATCCCGATCTCCGACATTATAAGCCAATCTCGAGATACGATAACAGGGGGCCTAGACCGAGGTAGGGATCTTATCGCCCGCCCTCGAGGATATCGGGGTCGTGATTAGGGATCGGTTCTGGCCTTGTTCAACTTCGTAGAACATTGTCAAGATTGGCCAACAGAAGGTCGTGATATTCGTAACCGACCGAATATCATGGCGGAGATCTCGGCATAAATCGACGTGAGATCAGCAATAAGTTAATTAGGGGATTTTTACCTTTTATCGAGTTGCACCTAATATAGGGTTTCCCTACTATATAAAGGGGGTCTGATTACTTGTAAAACACATTGTAACATGCATTCCAAAGTAGTATATTATTAATTTTTTCTTTAAGCTCTTGCTGAACTTCTGTATCTTGATATCGGTCAAATTGCTTCCAGTTTATGTGTGACTGACTTTTCAAGATTGTAACTGTTGAAGTCGTGTGGTTTGAATTTATGTCGTGTGGTTTGAATTTATTTTATCATTGTTCATTTTAATTGCAATTCTAATTTATTATTTTGTTTCAATTTAATCCACGTATCCTTAAAACTACTTACAAATTCAATTATTATCCGATTTTGAGGATAAACAGTGATATTTGGCAAATGAGCAGTATTAGTACAATATCTCGTGTTCTTGGCCAGTTTCATTATTTATTGATACATGTACAATGTGTCCTTCCTTTAAATAATCAAAAACTGTATGCAGGTTACAGCTATAATTGTCGCTTATTATTTAATCATGTACGGACCATGTGTTTTCTTCCTTTCAACAAATTAAACGACACTGTTTTGCTACATGTATCCGGATTATTCATTTAATTGTTTAAAAGGAAAGAATAACAACCTACCACCAAGGGTGTGGTAGAATAGAAAAGATTTTGTATGGCTATCAGATTCAGTGCTAGGAATGAAGTCCTTTTGATAAAGAGCGTCAAACCTCCTTTGCAACTTGCTAAAACCTCTCATAGTTCGCAGTTCGCTTTCTACTGCGCAAATCTGGATTAGTGGAACCGACGAGTGTAAAATAAAAAAAATAAAAAATAAAAAATAAAAAACTATGGTGAACTCATCTATATAAACACATATTTCCACATGTATATGATCCACATATCAGAGTCATAAGCCTCTTTATCCAATTTATTCTTCGACGTTCAACCATCAGCAGCCAAAATGGAAAACGCCAGCAGCGGAACTAACAACGGGAAGAAGCCAAGTCGGTTGCCGAAGAGGATCATACTGGTGCGCCATGGCGAGAGTGAGGGTAACGTAGACAAAAATATCTACGCTATCACACCTGACCATAAAGTTCAGCTCACAGAGAAAGGCAAAGAGCAATCCAAGAAGGCCGGGGAGATGATCCGCGGCCTAGTTTGTGACAGCAGGAATTCAGGAAAAGGGAAGGTGTATTTCTATGTATCTCCCTTCTTGCGCACCCGTGAGACACTGAAAGAGATAGGCGCTGCATTTTCCAGCAGCGAGATCATCGGGGTAAGAGAAGAAAGCAGGGTGAGAGAAATGGACTATGCCAAATTTCATAATACAGAGAAGATGGACGAGTATAAGAAGGAAAGAGAGAGATATGGAAAGTTCTTTTACCGGTTTCCCGGTGGAGAATCTGCCGCCGATGTGTACGACAGGGTTTCAGGTAAGTTTTTTTCTCTGACTCTGACTCTGTGTTAAATTTATTTCAACGTAGGTAAATCTGGTTAACGAGTTTGTGTTTAAATTCATACTGAAGTGTAGATCTGTTGATTCTTGTATGTTGAATAATCCTGTTATTCTTGTTTGAACAAACACATAGTAGCATCATTTCGAAATGTTTGTTGAGACGACAACAACAACAACCCAGTGTAATCCCACAAGTGAGGTCTGCGGAGGGAAATATGTACGCAGACCTTACCTCTACGCAGACTATACGTAATTAACGGTAAAAGACTGAACCCTTGAATGGATGAAAGCAGAAATTAAACGATGGCCCAGAAAACAAAGAAGTAATGTTTTTCTTTTAGAACTAGGTTAAAAAGAAGGAGATTCTCAAGAAATCATGAGTCTATTTGGAAAGCTACGTGTAATTACTAGAGTAATTACGACGACATGTTTATTTGTCATAGCGTAATTACAGTGTAATTAGAAGTTTACTGTTTGGTTGCACAAGTATAATTACACAGTTAGATTAAATTTTAAATTAAGTAATTATCAAAACTTAAAAGTTAATATAATAAATATGTGCCTATAAATTTTTATAAGTATGAACGATATTATATTTGGTATTTAAGATGTATATTTTATCATGAATATACATTAATTAGTAATCATATATTTATAATATTGTAAAAATAATTTATATATATATATATAAATTAATAATATTTAATTTAAATACTTACAAAAACTAAAAATATGTTTTGTAAGAACGTCATGGAATTCATGTTAGATAAAATAAATTAATATTTATAAATGTAATATCATAACATTATTCAAATATTTGACAAAACTAATCTATCAATTCTAACTAAAAAATGAACAACATGCAATGTGAGCCAATACTACTAAAACAAGTAAATCGGAACCATGAATATATCACAATTTCAAAATTCAAAAAAACAAATAGTTTAACATATGTTAAATTCCAACATAATAATAGTAAGTTCAATTGTAGCTTAAGATTAGGATACATTATAAGTTTATAACAACATTCAACAATGAAATTTCACATTAATTGCATCACTTATTATAACCAAAGTCAACAATGATGTTCCACGTTAATTGACTCATTATATCTAATATTAGGAAGTGTAGTTTTAAAATAAAATAATAAAATAAATAAAAAAATAAAATATAAGCAATTACATAGAATCATAAGAAGTAAAGATAGAGAAATAAAAAATAAATAATGTACAAAGAAGAATATATTTTAAAATTTAGGAAAAATAAATAGAAATAAAAAATAAAAAATTAAAATATTAGAAATAAAAAAATATAAAGAAAATAAATTGAAATAAAAACAAAAAGGAAAGAAACTAAAAAGCAACCTTGTAATTACACAGTGTAATTACCACCAATTCTCACCTCACTCTTGTGAATTGGAGAGTGTAATTACATCCCTCCAATTACATCCAATTCCATGCAGACCAAGTAATTACTTGGCCAAACAAACATGCCAAATTGTATAATTACGCCAAATTACACTCAAATCCAAAGGTGGCTTAACCCCAGGCCAATAAAGCGGCCGCTTTATGCCTCACAAAATTAGAGGCCCCAAAGCTACTATTTTTATATGTAATTTAAATATTTATTGTATTTATTACTCCTATTAAATAGTGATAAAAAATTTTACAATCATCTTTTGCTACCTTGTCACCAATCGTTAATAACATGTTTTATATTTTGTGTGTTGTCTTTTTTTTTTTTTGGAGCTGGTTGAGAAAATTCAAATGAAAGTGCAAGGCAATTAAATTTGCAGTTACTTTCTAGTTCTTCTTACTGCAACTAGAATAAATTTTATTTATAACTCTAACTTTGTAGGGTATTTTCTTTCAAGATCTATGTACGCACGCTTCAAGCTATTAGATCGTAAAAAGCTATAGTTAATTTATTTATCATATTTGTAAATACAAATTTTTATATGATTGTTACTCTGGGAGGCAATGCTATCCAGTAAGTTATGTTGACGATCATGTGAAAAGAAAAATTCAAAACTAAACTCAATAAAATCTTATTAAAGGTTATTAATATTTATTTCAACTAAAATTAAAACTGTTGGTTACATCATCAAGATGAATTTGCATCTCAAAAAGTAAAAAGAATAAACTTCAACAAAAATATCTAAAATTATTAAACAAGTTTAAGGCCTCTTACTATGGTTTGGCTTTAGGTCTCCATTATTATTGAGCCGCCTCGACCCAAAATCATTTCCAAGATGGCTTTCCAAACAGGCTCTAATAGGAACACATAAATGTGATGTCTAATAGAACTAGTACATTGAGACTTTATACATTTAATTGTTTTCTAAGGGTTAATAATGAAAAGCTTATCTTAAAATAGATAAAATTTAATCACTTTAGTTTATATGTTATATTGTACATATGATATAATTTATCAATAGAATTTAGAAAATATTTATTGTCGAATTGCAATATTAATTTCATAACTTAAAATACAGGTTTTATCGAATCTCTATGGAGGGACATAGACATGGACATGATTTCCTATGGTGCTAACGACGACATAAATCTTATTATAATCAGTCACGGGCTGACCATTCGAGTTTTGCTCATGAGATTGTTTAGATGGACAGCAGAACAAGTTGACAACCTAACAAGTCCCAAAAATGCCGAGGTTCGAATCATGGAGTTAGGGCATGAGGGTGAGTACAGCCTTGCATTACATCATGATGATCAAACATTAGAGAAATGGGGACTTTCTCCCGAAATGATTGCTAATCAAAAGCTAAGGGCTTACCCACCTAAGGTTGACCTTGACAAGCGCGTCTTCTCTACTAATTACTTTGATCATTTGGCCAACATTTTTAATCTTGATGTTAAGAAAAAATAAAGTGTTGCCAATAACTCAATTATTGTGTTGTTTATGCGGAAGGTTATGTAAGAAACATTTGGTTTGATTGCTTTGATTTTGTAATTTCCATGATTTTTAGGCGTAAAACCATTGGAGGTATTTTTGTTATTTGTCTTGTCCTATATATATAGTGGCGTTTGGATATGAAAATTGTAAAATTTCGGGAGAAAAAAATCCAAGTGAAAATTAGAGTTGTGTTTGAACATGAGTATAATTTTAGGTTGCTTTTGAATTTTTGTGAGTGATTTGACACAAAAATTTTAAAAACAAGCTTTTTGGAATTTTTCAAATTTTTGAAAAAATTCGAAATATATCTTCAAGTGAAAATTAACAATTTCATGGCCAAAACTGATTTCGGAAAAAAGTGAAATTTTTTTTATGGCTAAACGGGCTCATAGTGTCGTGAAATTTGAAATAACAATTTTGTTTTGAGTGAATATGACGGTAGCACTCAACAGTATGTCACCCGTAATCTACAATTTCTTTTAATCATTTACCATTTATCATTTATGAGCTAATGTTAAAAGTTTGAATTTTTATTTTTATCTATACAGTTAAACAGGTAAAAATTTGTCTACACCGTGTGTTTACACAAAAATACCTATGTTAATCATGAAAGGACAAATTAAGGTCTATTAGGAGTCCTATTCTAACAAATAAAATTTTAAAAAAGATTCTAATAGAGTCATACAAACTTACAAACCCCTGGGGTTGCCGTTATCGTGTTTGTTCGCCATCATCTTCTAACATTCTTGCGGCATTTTGAGGCTTGAATATTACGTACTGAAGTGACTGTGTATAGGTTCATAGTCCTCAATCCTCTCCCTATCTTGTCATCTTCTACTTCTACAATAGTTATACGAATAAAAACAACACTGCCAAAACCATAAACTTGAAAAGTATTAACCCTTGAAAATAGCGCTCTTACCAATATTAAAAAGCATAAAATCTTTGTCCAGTTGAAGAACAAAGAAACACTATCGTGGATGATATGCTAAAAAAAAAGAAGGAGAATTTGTGCCTCATAGTTTTAGACTTCATATTGTCTCTCACGGCAATATTTTTTTTTTCCGATTTACTTTACAATTAACATTACTCCGGATCACAACAAGAAAATGCTTGTTTTGTGAGGGTTATTTTGACAATTTGTGACGGTTTCCGTCCTCCATCAAATGAATTTTGGCGGTTTTTAAAAAGTCATAATTACGAGTGTCATGAGCAATTTTGAGGCGAGTTTTTAAAACTCCCACGACAACCCCACAAATTGAACTTTGAATTTGTGGGGGGGGGGGGGGGG